AGATATATCGATAAACCTATTCCTGAGACAAGAGACCGGGGGAAATTTTTTTTAGTTGTGACCTACACAGCTAGTTAGAATCTACCTCATGCTCTTAAGATAGTGTTTAATCATAAGGATATCATACATAACTGAAGTTATGTAATGTTGAAAATCATTTGGTGGCAAGTACCTCAACTTTATTAGGTCAGTGTAGGTCTCCTACATTCAACTATGGTCTCTAGGAGGGCAGGGACCACACTTCTTAGCTCATCCTGGATCTCAAGACCAGTCCAAGGCCTTCATTCAGTCAGAGCTAGTTAAGAATTTGTTGATTGAATGAAGGAAATTTTAAAAAACTAGAAATTCCAAATGGTGCAATTACATCTGTGAATTTTAAGGTGTTATTGGAAAATGGGAAATATTACTGAGATTCGAAGATGGATAGGAACAAAGGTAAAGCATCAAAAATGTGCATATTTGTGTGTTACTAGAGTCAATAGTGATTGCCAGTTCCTATGCAGCCCTGGCACCACCTCTGAAACCTTAGCCAACCCCTTCCATGAGGTGTTGAGATACACGACAGACAGGTGATGAAGGAGAGGTGCTCTGGATGTTGCCTTGCCGCTAGATCCTGGTCTTTAGTGTCCGTGTCCACGGGGTGAGTTGTGAGCCCATCAGTTTCCCACACTACAGTCCTTCTCTGGCTTAGCCTTGCTTCTATATCCTGTGGTCCAGGTCCCCCCCGGCCCCTGTGGCCTGCCCCCAGGGATGGACCCCCCTCCACACACTTCTGAGGAGCTCCTGATTCTGGGCATGCCCCAGCACACCTCGACTCCACTCTGCCTTGTCTCCATCAGACTAGAGACCTCACTTAGACCCTGGGTATGGGGTTGCTGGTTCCCCATGTGCTGTGGTTGTCACTAGCCTGGGCTCTACCCAGGCGCCCATCTTTCTCATCTTCCACACTGCCCGTTCTGCTAAAGCAACTGCACATCTGAAGGCTATACTTATCCCCAATACAATGGTACTTTTTCTAAAATGCATACACCCTAATGCTTACCCTTTTGACAACTTTCTCCTGAACCTACCTTTTAATATAAGCAAATTCAGTCTTCAATTCAAATAAGTGTATTTTGCTGCTGAAGCCACCATGTGATTTTGAGAGATAGTAAAGACAGACAGTCTTTTGCATTCACTTGTGGAATCCTGAAAATACCTCTTAGTGTCCCTTGCTTTTCTGACTTCTCGCTTGAAGACATCTAGACAAAAATGTGTCCCTGGGTCCTAGTTTCTGGGTTCAGAAATTGATTAAATGCAAGAAAACAATATACATTGCCTCTTCCTTAGCATGCATGAATGGTAGGTGTGAATTTGCATCATGAGAAAGTAAATAAAAGAAGATTCCCCAGGGCAGCTAGGGAGGCAGAAAAAGCCAGCCTAGGATGGAAGTGGAGGACGTGACAGAGGTTATGAGAGTGAGAGTCCGCTCCCCCCCAACCTGGGTCACTTACTGGTATGATATAAATGCTAAGACTGCAAACTTTTGGCTCACACAAAGAAAAATACTCAACTTCTAATGCTTAACTATGTAAAATTTACTTTTAAAGTACAAGTTACAATTGTGTCGCCCCTCAAAGAAACAAGAAACTCATTACATTTCTAAGAATGTTCCTTCAGAAACATGGAACTGAAAGCTATTTTTAAAAATTGATCTGCCCCTTAGAAAACTGGGGCCTTTTCTTTAATTTACCTAAGGAATTGACATAAAAGTCTAGGGTTCTGCACCAGAAAAATGCAGAAAGTGTCAAAATAGAAGGCAGAAATACAAAAGGAGACTTTTCGCAACAACGTTCTATGTCTAGCATTTGATTCCAAGGGTGCAACATGGGGAAGTGAACATGTGGACTGTGAAATTGATGCTAATTTTCTTTCCCACTAGTCTAGCAGCCCTCAAAAATGTCACGTTATTAATTTAGTTACTTTACCAGAAATCCGTGTATGTGGTTAGTGTGTGTGTGTTTTTTTTTTTAATTAAGAGACTTTACTTATTTTTAGAACAGTTTTAGATTTTCAAAAAATTGAGCAGGTAGTACAAGAATTCCCATCTACTCCCTTTGTGGCACACAATTTCCCCTATTTTTACCATCTTGTACTAGTGTGATGTATTTCTTACAATTAAGCCATTGTTGCTGCTTCGTTGTTATTATTATTTAAAGCCCATAATTTACATTAAGGTTCTCTCTTTGGGTTGTACAGGTCTATGGATTTTGACAAACATATAATGTAATGCATCCACCATTATAGTATCATACAGAATAGCTTCACTGCCCTAAGAATCCCCTGTGCTCGGCCTGTTCACCCTTCCCACCTCTCCCCAACTCCTGGCAACCACTGATCTTTTTACTGTCTCCACAGTTTTGCCTTTTCCAGAATGTTCTATCTTTGGAATCATAAAGTATGTACCCTTTTCAGACTGGCATCTTCATTAAGCAATGTGCATTTAAGTTTTCTCCATGTCTTTTCACATCTTGATGGCTCATTTCCATTTATTACCACAAAATATTTCGTTGTCTGGATATACCACAGCTTTACCAACTGAGGGGCATCTTAGTTGCTTCCAGTTTTTGAATAAAAGTGGCTATACATATTCATATATTTTTCTTAGTTGTGACCTACACGACTAGTTAGATTCTACCTCATGCTCTTAAGATGGTGTTTAATCATGAGGATATCATACATAACTGAAGTTGTATAATGTTGAAAATCATTTGGTGGCAAGTACCTCGTGTGTATTCATGTGTAGGTTTTTGTGTGGACATAAGTCTTCAATTCAATTGAATAAATATACCTAGAAGTGTGACTGCTGGATCATATGGTAAGAGTATATTTAGTTTTTTAAGAAACTGCTAAACTATCTCCCAAAGCGGTTTTACCGTTTTGCATTCTTACCAGCAATGAATGAGGCTTCCTGTTGCTCCACATCCTCGGCAGCATTTGGTATTGTCAGATTTTTGGATTTTAGCCATTCTAGTAGATGTGTAGTGGTATCTTACTGTTTTAATTTTCAATTCTGTAATGACATATGATGCTGACCATCTTTTCATATGCGTATTTGCGTCCGTGCACCTTCTTTGGTGAGGTATATGTTCAGATCTTTTGCTCCTTATTAAGTTGGGCTGTTTGTTCTTTTATCTTTGAGTTATAAGAGTTCTTTGTGCATTTTGGATACCAGTCCTTTATCAGATATATCTTTTGCAAATATTTTTTCCCAATCTGTGGCATGTCTTTTTATTCACATAATGGTTGATATGTGTTTCTGCTTTAAGGAGGAAGGGTTTTAAAAATACAATTTACAGTAGCAGTAAACATAAAAATTCACTGCAAATGTCTTATGTTCACTCTCAGGTAATGTCAGGGAACTAGGGACCCAGCAGAGTTTAATTAAAGGGGAGTGTCAAGTCCTGGGGGCTGTGGCTGACAATCCTACTTTATTAGCAATTGTGCAGCAGGCTGAGAATAAGAAGACAACCCAGTCCTGAGCTGCATCACTTCTAAATTAAGAATAATTCAGGAACTGTGTTTACAGTGAAATCCTGTCCTTCTCACATAGATTATATTATGTATAGGATATGAATTTCCATCCATGAATCCAAGTACATAAAAAATCATCACTTTGAAAATTTCCTTTAGCTCAACTTAATCCCATCTGTGAGCCTCCATTCTGCCGGTTAAACAAGAGACCGTAACTGGGTCATGCAGGCGTCACCTTCCTTTCCTGCAGCCCAGTCAGAATTCAAGAAGTTCACCTGGTACCTGGAAAATGATGGAAGGACCTCAAGTCCCTAGTCCGTCCTGGTTGCCATTGGCACCCTTACTATCTGAGCCCATAGTGGCCTGTGAAGTCCGGCAGCTCCCTGCCCCCATGCCACAGTGGGAAATGAGAATATCTACTGAGGCTGGGCCCCATGAGCAAAGCACACTGCCTTTCTAGGTATGAGCCATCACACCTGAGGTTGCTACCCCTCGGGAGCACGGACAGAGGGTTAGTTGGGTTTCTACTGCTCGCGGGACCCATACAACCATCCCCTGCCCTCCCTTCTCGCATTTCAAAAGCATTCTCTCCCTCTCCTTTCACCTCTAAGCCACCTGCATCATCTCTTCCATGGGCTTTCACAAAAGTCTCGATGAACCTTTGATCTTGTATCTCTTCTGCTTTCCCCCTTGCACAAACCTCTGCATCAAGAAAGCTTAGAAAATAAACAGTAATTAACATTTCAATAAATAATGCTGCTCTAATTATTTGTGAAAACTATTCTATATTAGAACTCCCATCAGCGCCACCTCCTAGAGTGCTTTTACACTTGACCACTGGCCACAGGAGGCCACTTCCATATAACAACAAACAGATGACTGAACTTGGAAAACTCAGCTAAATGTTCAGAGGTTTCTAGACTCCCATGGGTTTCTGGCTCTGTCACATGGAGTAGATCTCTGGTGAAGTTTGGTGAGGGCAACTTTCACACCCACACATACCAGCTGCTGTGTGTAGCCTCTCCCCCTCTGGTTGCTTATCCTTGCAGCCTTGGCCTCTTCAGTTCTGAGAACATCAGAGAATGAGGCAGTGGAGGAAGTAGGCCCACACAGAAAGCAGCTTTCTGAAGTAACCTCAGCAACTTCCTCCTCACCAAACACAAGGAACTGATCTTCTCCATTGGGCTCGGCCTCCTGTCAGCCAAGGACAACGCTGTTGACCACTATCACAGTTGGCCCCGCTCCACCCTCGGCTCTGATGACATATGTGGGAGTTAGAGGAATTTTGATTGACTGACTGCTGGCCTGTCACACAAACAAGATGGGGCAAGGGGGTTGTGATCTGATTTGACATGTGAAAAAAAAGCCATAGTGAGCAACCCCCTGCAACTGTTGAAAGGCTAATTCAATCTCAGACTCATTAACAAAAGTGATCTTGTTCACTGCCTGTTCTGCCCTGAGAGCCTTCTCTGCTAGGAGGTAGGTTGACTGACTCAGGGAGAAGGGTGCTGGCGGCAGAGCTGCCAATGGATGAGGGTCCTAGAGACCATTGGCATGAGGGGCAGTTGAGGACTGTAGTATTCAGCCGAGAGGAGAGACTACTAAGGAAATTTACAAAATCAGCTTTCAGTTATTTGGAAGGGTTTATATAAAAGGATAAAATAATATGTTCTCGTAGTTCTAGAAAACAGGACAGAGACAAGTAGATGGTACTTAAGGATCAGAGGAGTGAGTGTCAGTAGTTTGGGGATTATTTATAAACAAGACATTCTTCTGTTAACTCTCTTATCAAATAGTGAATTTCCCAACTTGACAAGTAAGAAAACACAGGCTAGACATGTATCTGTCATGACACTGAAGGGGTCCTTGCTTGCTTGAGTGAGAGACTGGAATGATGACTTTTGAGGTCCCTTACAGCCTAGTAACTCTAGCTAAGTTGGAGAATAAGAGAATTCCATGACACCATATCACCCCTGATTTCTGCTGCCTGCCTCACCATTCATCTCTCTTTACTCTTTTTAATATCCTTCTACGTTACAGCATTGGAGGAGGCTGCTCTAAGTAGGAACTGAAATAAGTAGATTAAAGAAGTGCTGTGGAAGGGAAAACAGTAAAACAACTCTTTTTTTTAAGAGCCTACTATTGCCAGGATCTGTGCTAGGCACCATATATATGCCATTCTATTTAATCCTCATGACATGCCTATGAGATATTTAGTATTACTTCTGTGAGGAAGCCAAAGCTCAGAGAGGGTAAATAACTGCCCCAAGAACACACAGGCATTAAGTAGTGGAGCAGGGTTTGAACACAGGTCCCTGTGACTCCAGAGCGCACTGTGATATTTATTTTTACTGATCTGTTTATGGAAAATGATACTGCTTTCTGATTTAGTATTAACACAAAGATTTTTTTCTAAATAGATTTACTTAAAGTATGTTATAAAAATACTATATAAATAATGGAACAGATTTTACATAAGTATGAAGTGTTACTAGTAGCTAGAATGATGAAAGTTTGGGAAATACTACTCCAAATATTTTGACAGCTAGCCTTTCAATTTAGCCTGTCTTATATTTGGACTGCTGAGTACAAGGAAAAGAAGGAAACATGAAAATTAAGTGAAATATGAGTTACTTCCCCTATGCTCTGATAGGTGGGTAATTGGTCATATGTTACAATGAGAAAATCAAATGAACCCTTTCAAACAACAGCAAAAAAATTGTGATTGTAAAATCCAGAGGAAAACCCCAGGTGGGATCTATCTGTATGAAGGATGAAGTTTCCAAGGTCTGAACATAGAATGACTGGGAGGAAGTGATGACCCTGTGAGTCAAGACCCTGGACTCTGGGGGAGCCCTGTGGGTTTGAGAAGCCCTGGATGAAAGGTGAAGGGTTTTACAGACCTGTTTACAGACCTCTGTAGTGACAGAAGGGAGGGAGATCTTTGTGCAAAGGTCAAAGTAAGAATTGGGAAAGTCTGAAAAGAAAATAGGAAAGTAGTAATGAAGATGAAATAACTGCTTGGCATACTCAGTGCCACGTTATCTACAGGCAAAGACTCCTTTGTTTTTCACAACAATGCAGCAAAAAGTGATTATGAATCACATTTCTTAAGTGAGAAGACTGACATTCAAACATGCTCAATAACTGGCCCACGGTCCAGTGGTCAAGCCAGGACTGGACCTCGGACCACCAGTTCCAAACCCACACCCCTTCCCTTGCACCACACGCTTTTGCGTGGATGAGCCTCCACAACCCTGTCAACAACAAACTGTCAGTTTGCGACTTTGAATGTCTCCTGCTTCACAGGACACAGCTAGCCTCCAAGAGATCAGGGAGGCATGCCCAGAGGGGGCTGCTTCTCTCTTTTTAAGCTCAAGTGCCACAGACCTCAGAGGCACGTAAATGTCCCCCACACTGAGCAGAGGACTTTGCGGTGCCTGATCAGGGCAGAAAAAGGAGGCATGCACCTGGGGGAAGATCATATATGAGTGAAACCTGTCCCCACTGAAGCACTAGGTTTGGAGAAATCTGCTGGGCGTTTACACACCTTTCCCACTTCTGCTTGTGACTTGTGGCCAAACTCAAGAGCACCACCCACTACCGGGAATAGTGGACCAAGGTAACAGAAACATTCTAGATTCATACAATTGGGGTTAGATTAGGATCATCTGAAAATGAAGGTTGTGTATGTCAATTGCCTTCTAACAGGATGGGTGGAGAGGTGTACTTAATGAATGATTTGGGGGAAGGGCTAGAAGTGAAGCACCTGGCCTCTCTGCTCTCACTCACTGAAGACTGTCTTCTGAAGCCTGTGGAACTCAGTGCCTGCCACATGGTTGCCCACATTTGTTGAACTGAACTGCATTTTCACCTATGGGCTTCAAAGGCTGTATGTACTCTGGGATCTCTGGGAATCTGTCAGGGAAGGCCTCTTTGTCATGTTTGTGGATGGGGCTGCCTTTGGGGGTTTCCCAGGGCTTTACACTCATGCTCCGAGGGTACGTTTGTAGTCATTCTCATCAGTGGAAATGCCCACCTGCCGACAGAAGTTATTTGGAACCAAGCAAGAGCACTGTCCCTGGCTGTGGTGTTGTTTCTCTAGTCAGTTCCCCTTTTTGTATTTGAGTTCTACCGTCAGTCCTGACATTATTTCCCTCTCTGCAAGGAGCCTTAGGAGGTACGGCGAGCTCGCAAAGACTCCTTTTGTTTTTTTCTTACTACCTTGCTTCTGTGTTCCTTGGGAATGCTGCTGTGCTTATGCATCTGGTCTCTTTTTGGAGCTGCAGTGGACAGGCATTTGTGACAGGTATGTTTGTGGAGGCTCAGACGCCTAGGGAGTGGCATAAGATAAAGCTGCAAGATGCATCTGGGCAGAGGTGCTGATGAGCTAATGGCCGGCCAGGGAATGAGTAAAAGGGGTTGCAGAGAGCATGCTTAAAACCTCTGACCATCAGGTTTGCTTCTCAGATTGACTACATTGGAGGTGGGATAGTACAAAAAATGTATCCCTTCCTGCCAGATCCCTTCATCTGTTTTTTGTGAGCTAAGAGACAGAATAGGCAGGAAATAGAAGGTGCCACTTACCAAATAACTGGCAGCTGTCCTTGGCCTTGGGGTGCTGGGGTCTCTGAGCAGCCTCTCTTCTAGAAGAAGCAGTCCAAAGATGTCAGCTGGCCCCGCCTGAGTCCCCTGTGCCAGTGGGAAATCCAGAGAAGGGGGATTTCCTCCTCTTGCAGCCTCTCTGCAATGGACTTACTTGGCTTTCCTGTTTGACCTTTCCCTTCTCTGGTCCAGAGACCCTTCCCCAATATTTCTTCCCATCCAAGTGCCCCATCCCAATATTAGCCCCACTTGGCACCAGAGACCAAGAACTAATTTAAAAAGAAATATTCTTGTGTCAAAAAAGAGCCCAGGCAAGTGATTGAACGTACTGTTTCACATGCTGTGAACATATTTGCATTTGCATTTGCAAACGGGCTTAAAATATCATCTCCATTAATAGTAATTTAAGGTTCTGGAGAGTCAGGTGAAAATAGTTTTTGGCAAAGGGAACTTCCTACCCCTCTAAAACTGTAATAATGAAGGAGATGAACTGTTTATCTTACATGTAACCTCAATCTTGGGACTAAGGCCCTGGACTAAAATGAGTCTATTTATGTGCTCAGACTTGCAGTTCGTGTTATATCTGCTGCTGCAGATACCATTAATATTATTTATGTGAGCTATCCTGTGTATAATGGAAGCTTTTATAAATCTCTATTTATGTGTTCCTAATATATTTATTAAGTGCTTGCTATATTCCAAGTACTAGGGACTTAACAGGTAGCATGAAAGACATAAGGTGAAGCTGTACTCTTGGTTTCTAGCCTAGTGGGGAAATCACATTAATTTAATCACACTAAACATGACTACATAGTGCTTTAAAGGGAAGGAAATCGTTCTATGTGACTATATCAGCTGATTAATTACTAAGCCTTTGCATTTGATATTTTGGTTAGTCTATTATTCTTGAATTTCATATGCCTCTTCCTGGGTGGGGTGAGGATGGGATTTTATGGAGTCAAGGCTAGGGCGGGTGGGGAGAAAACATGAGAAAGATGAGATAAGCCAAGCCAGATTCTTCAGCAGAAAAATCAAGGTTGAAATACCATGTTTCAAAAATCAGATTGAGGTGGGAGTTGAGGTTAGGGGTCCCTAGGCCAGGGGATTGAAGCTTCAAAGAGATAAAACTAGAGCAAAAGCAAGCGCAGAGGGTGGCAGAGAGGTCCCTCGGCAGTTTTCCACAGTCCATTCTAGTGCTGGCAATTCACCTTTCATGGCAGGTAAGAGTATTTGTAGGGTGGGAGAAAGGGTAGGGCCATAGGCTAGGCACACAGCCCTTTACTGGCCCTTATCTCTCCTCTCATCTCCTATACAGCGCTGTTTCTGAACTGTACATTGGCTTACACTCGGGCTGAGGTTTGGGGAATAGGCGCCATTTTGAATATGTTTGGAGGAAGAAAAGTGTGTCTTCAGCACTTTCCACCTCCCCATCATGGCCCTGAGACCTCAACACCGGGAAGCATCTCGTTCCCTATTGGTCCTCCTTTATTCATGGATGGATATGATTCCTTTCTAAGTTCCATGTCTTTTTAGATAAATTTACTTGAACCTAATGCCTAATGGCTTAAAAACAAACAAAAAAAACCCTCTCTCCTCCAGCTAGCATTTGCATTTTAACAGGGGCTTTCAAAAAATGCCTTAGCCCAAGGAATGAGTAATGTGGGAATTCCAAGCAGCAGGGTAGGACTGGTGCGCAGAATGGGGAGAGAAGGCCCCTCAAGTTGTGGCCCTGAAACGTTGGCTTCCTCTCTTTGACCATGATGCTGTTTCTGAGAAAACAAGAATCAGGCTACCTTAGGGGGCCAGGATGGGCATGGCTCCTTTTTAGTGAGTTCTGTAAGCCTCATTCCTGGCAGTCAGAGCCCTCGAGTGGATGAGCACAGACTAGGAGAAGCACTGTGAAACTTTGCATGATCCTTACCTTTTTGGCAAAAAGGAAAAAAAAACCCATTGTTTTCAAATTCATCAGTAGTTTGAAATAGGGTGCGCTTTGACTCAGAGAGTTTCGATTCTAGATACAACTCGTCATGCCCACCACCCCTTTACTGCTTCAGACTCACCATCTCAAGTCGATGAGCCTATAATACTGGCTTTCTTGATCCACCCTGATACCAGCCGTCACCTCTTGACAGGGTTATTTTCTTTAAGCTGTCATTACATCATTTTTCTGCTCCCAAACTATTAATTCCAAACTCCCAATTTTCTGTTAAATTAAATATGAATTCCTTATTTGACTTTTCATGTGCTATTAAGCTATCTTGCTCCTTGCTTTACTTATAGAAACTAATTTCCCATTATTTGTCCAAAGACAACCTCTGCTTCAGTCCAGTCAGCTTTTCTTATTATAAAAATTCCGTGATCACTCCTCCATTTCCATGTGTCCTTAAAAAATGTTATTTGATTGGGTCTCAAAAAGTTTCCAAAGAACATTATGCCAATGAAAAGCATCAAACACAAGGTTATACTTGATGCTTTTACACGTGTGTGCATGTATGTGTGTATCAAAAATATGGCTGAAATGTTTATCCAGTGAAACTCAATCAACACTAAAAAATGGTTCTTTCGGAAGCATCATTTCTTTGAGATCCATTAAACAGATGCCTCGGATGCAGGGTTATGTATTATCAGGAATCTGTCTTGGGAAGAATTATCGGAAGCTTGCAAAGCCTTTCAAGGACAGAGGAAGATAGTTACCACGTTGAGTTCTAGGAAATTAACAATTGTTATTGTTAAATGAAGACAGCGTTTCTCAGAGGAAGACTGTTAAACAGTGCAGTGGCCTAGGCTGACAGCCCTCATGAGTGGGAGTATCAGAATGAGCAGACTTAATTACTTAGAACCAATACTGGGTGGAACCTCATCTGCTGTAACAGAAATAGACTCGTGCAAGTTCTAACATGCAGGGTACAGTTCTGACACCAAGTCTGACTCACTGTCAAAGCTCAGCTCAACTCTTACCACCTTTACACCACCCTTCCAAGCTGTAGGAGTGCTTGCTATACATGTCTTCTGAAGCCCTGGATCACTTGTAGCCAGCTCAGCAGACTCTACCCAGACAGGGATAGGGATACTTTAAATGTACCATATTGTCTACTATGTTAAAATGAGAGGAACTGACTCAGGGTGAGAGCAATGGAGTGTCCAGATGTTCTCCTTTATTTCTCCTTATTCCTGGAAATGTAATGAGAATCTTAGCGGTGAACTGAAAAGTTATGAGTTCAACCACCCACTCAATTCGAGATTCGCTCCTAAAATGTCTCTTCTGTGTTATTACCCCCACTTTGGTTTGAATAGTACTGGTGACAGGGAGCTTATCACCTCACAAGAAAATCCAGTCATTGATTGTAGCTCTCTATTAAAAGTTTTCCATCGTCTGGAACTGAAATCTGGCTCCCTGTAACTTTTAGTTATTGAAACTACTTGCCCTTCAGCAACAGTGTATGTATCCTCCCATGAAAGGGCCCTTAAATATTTGCAGATGGCCAGCATATATTTGCAATCTTTTCTTCTGCAGGTTCATTACCGTAGTCCTTTTAGTTGTTCTTCATCTGACATAATTTCATTATTCACTAGTGAACCTTGCTGCCCTTCCCCTTGATAAACTGAATTTGTCAGTGTCATTCAAGTATAACTGACCTCACAGAACGTGATACCACAAGCGATGTGGTCTGATTAGCAGAGTTCAGTGAATGAATCCTACGCTAGGATTGGATGAAATTTTAGTTAGCCGTACCACACTAACATTTATGTGATTTTTATGTTTACTATGGATAGACTATTTCTCCTGTGTCCACTTATTCCTCTTATACAGTTGTTATTTCAAAACTGAAGTACAGATTCTCACACTTACCCTTAAGAAATTCATCATGTTAGTATTAGTCTCTCTTTTTAGGCTTTATGAATATTAATTCAGCTAACCAATTTTTGAGCGATCTCATTTTGTCCCATCTGCACAGCATAAGTTTGATTTCTGTTGCTTTTATTAGTAGTTTTACTAAATATGTGAAAGTGAAATAGTAAAACACAGAGTCTTGTAGCATCCACTGTGGGATCAGTCTTTTAGACAAGAATGATGCAGTTGCTGAGTCAAATGAATAAATGAATAAATCAAACAATACTTTGTCCTCATTTCCTATATTGATCTATAACCATATCCTGTTAATTATAATTCTAAATATTTCTTGATCTATCCACTTTTCCCTCACTTCACCTGCTACTATCCCAGACCAAACAGCCATCTTCTTTTACTCAAACAACTGCAGTAGCCAACTGATCGGTCTTCCTGCATCTGTCCTGGCTTCGCTGTCATCCATTTGCTACACAGAAACCATGGTCATCTTTTCAAAATGCAAATCTGATGATGTCACTCTCAGCTCTAATTTCTTTGATGGTTCACATATAAAGACCGAAATCTTTAACTGACCCAGAAGACAAGTGTGATCTGGCCCCTGCTCACCTCTTCAGCCTTGTCTTTCACTTGTCTCTTCATTTTGGCCACAGGGACCTCCTCGTACCTTCTCTCATGTGCCCTCCTGCCTCAGTGCCTTTGCATATGCTGTTCCCTTTGCCGAGAACTCTTCCTGTCAACTCCCAAGCCCTTCACCTACTTAGCACCTACCTATTCAATCTGTTCTGTTTGCCTATTGATACATTACAAACTGTCCCCAAACTTAGCAGCTTAGAACAAGGAAACCCTTACCCACT